AGTAAGACGAGAATGAAGAACTGACCACTGGATTTGGCAACTTGTTGGCCATTGGTGACCTTGACAAGAATAGTCCTGACTAAAATGGGTAAATGCGATAAGGGAGTGGAGACAGCAAGTGTAGACAACCTTTAGAGAATTTTGTTTTTTTGTAAAGGGGGTGGTAGCTGGAGAAGGATGTGGTGTCAAGAGGGAATTTGAAAAAGAGAGAGGACATTCTAGCATATTTACAGAATTGTGGGGCAACAACTGTGGAGCACAGTCCAGAGTAGGTGAGAGGTGAGGGCTCCAGTGTCCAAGTGGAGGGTGTGCCAGGAGCAGGGATGCTCATCCGTGTCCCAGCGGAGAAGGCAGGGCGAATGGGCACCTAATGTCTGCCTGTCAGCCAAGGAGGTATGGGGGAACGGGGACTGGAGCCTTGGGGAGAGAGGAGAAGGTATGATACAATCATCTTGGAGACTAGGGTTAGAGTTTTAGGAAAATGTAGAATTTGCTAGAGGGGCTGAGTGCCCACCTGAGGTTTGTGGTCAGAAGTTTCCATTGAAACCAGTCAGTCCAGTTGTGTTATTCTCCAGGTGCTCTGGAATGGGTGCCGCATGGAGAGTGGGGTTGTACTGGGGTTGGGCTCTTGCCTGCTGAGTAACTATAGCAGCAGGCAAAGGCAATGGAGCAGAGGATACATCTACGAAGGGCCCTCGGAGTCTAAGCTGGGCAAAGAGGGATGGGAGGTCATCGAGGGGGTGATGGACAGCGACACGGGGGAGGACCCATAGATGTAGCAGAGGGAGGGCTGGAGCAGGAAGCTGATGGGTAGGAGGTGAGGAGCTCTTGGTACTGACCAGGTCTGGGGTCTGACTGATACCTCAGTCAGTATCAATATGAGTTCCAAAGCCTGAGCACGTATGTGGGTGGGGTTTCACAGGTGAATAAAGATCGATGGAAACAAGGAAGTCAAAGCACAGAGAGGTGGGTGTTAGAGGTGAAGTCATCAGAAATGGTAATAAGTATAGTATTCGAGAGAGAGAGAAAGAGAGAAGGCGATCCAGGGGCTGAGCTGGTCCCGCAAAGGGAGGGGATAACCAGGATATCTTATGTACCTCTCTGACACCGCGTGTCTGTAACTGAAGTTATCTGTATCTCCCACAAACTCGCTCCTCCACTGGGGAGATGGCACCACCACCCAGAGCAGAAACCTGGGTGTCACTCTGGTGCCTCTCCACCTGATCCCCACACCTACTCAAATCACCAAATCGATCTGACTCTATCTCGTAGGTCTTTCTTAAATCCAGCTACTTCTTCATCCCCACTCCACACACCCTTGTTGAGGCCATCATTGTTTGTCACTTGGATGCTATGTCAGTTTCCAAATAGGTGACCCTGCCTTGGCCCCTCTGCACATTAACCAGAGGCACCGTGCCTTAGATCACGTCACTTCTGTGCTGAGTCTCTCCAGTGACTTCTTGTTGTCCTGAGGATAAAGTCCAAGATCATTAACAGGGCTTTACCAAGAAAGTGCTGCATGACAAAGCCCCTGTCTACTTCAGCCTGACTCTTCCCACGAGCCCCCGTGCCAGGCTCCAGCCCTCCTGGGGTACTTCCCATCCTTGTCATCAGGCTTGCTCTCCCTCCGCCTGGCCACTCCTCCTGCTCACTTGGCAAAATTCTCTTCTTTCTCTAGGTGTCACCTTAAGAAGTCTCAGGGAAGGGGCACCTGAGTGGCTCAGTCGGTTAAGCGTCTGCCTTCAGCTCAGGTCATGATCCCGGGGTCCTGGGATGGAGTCCCGCGTTGGGCTCCCTGCTCAGCGGGGAGCCTGCTTCTCCCTCTCCCTCTGCACCTCCTTCCCCACCCTGCAAGCGTGGGCTCTCTCTCTCTCAAATGAATAAATAAAATCTTAAAAAAAAAAAAAAAAGAAGCCTCAGGGAAGCATTTCCTGCATTCCTGGATGTTGGCTCCACCTTCCCCCTCCCCTCAGTACCCCGTGCTCCTCAGCATGCCATGAGCTGTCCTCTTCATGGCATGTAAACTCCATGAGATCGGGGACTGTATCTGATTCTTCCCAGATGAATCCTCAGCACCTAGCATGGGGCTTGTCATGTAAAAGTGAACAATAAATATTTGTTGATTTGAATCCAATGGGAGATTCTCGAGGTGGAGCAGTTCTGGGTGAAGACAAAGTCCCAGGTGTGGTCCTGTGAGTGGGTAGCTAAATGGAGCAGAGGAGCAGGTCATGAGAGACACAGAGGGCATGGAATGAAAAGGACAGAGCGACACCCAGATGGTCCCCGCAGCCCTGGGCTGTGAGAGAATACCCAAAGACTCTGACTCCTCAAGTCTTTCATGAGCGGAGGAGCAATGAGGGGGCAGCAATGGGGGCAGGGCCGAAGGTGGAGGGGACAGATGGCAGGGGCCCAACTGAGCGAAGAGATTTCAAGAAGGGGGAGGTGGAAAGTCTGAGAGTGGTAGTGAGGGTGGGTGGGGGGGTCTTGAGGGTGTGGGTGGGACTGAGGATAAAAGTGTCCCAGCTCAAGTGTTTCCCAGAGGATTCTTCCAGCTCCTCTGGGGTCTCGGGCTGCTCAGATGGTGTTCCGGCTCTGTCTGGCTCACTGGCTCGGGACTTAGGACCTCTGGGGACAGCTCCCATGAAGAGGGCTGCCACAGGAGTAGTCAGGTCCCCAGATGCCCTCACCCTATGCTGGCCCTGCAGCGGACACTGGAATGGGGACTCTGGACTCCCACAGGGAGTGGGCTGTGGCTGCTGGCCTGCACATGGGAGCTACGTTGGTTTGAGTAGTGTGGGGCCATCTGGTTCTGAACAGGTTGAGAGCCAGCCTGTTTTCTGGGATTGGGTGGTCACAGCTCTGGTCTGGATTGGAGGTAGAGCCACCCTTATTTCCTGGGACCAGGAGTTCAGTGGATGGTATTGGTGCCTTGCCCATGTCCCCTTTACCGGGGGACACCCATTCCCTAGCTGCTATGAATACAGGGTGCTCGTGGCTTATAGCTGCCCCTGGAGAATTGACCTTGATTGGATAGGAGTCACCTACCCCTTCCTGCCAGCCCTCCTGCCCATGGGCTGGCCTGAAGCCAACGACTGACTGATACGGGAGTTCAAAGCCTGATGCCCTCTCCTCCGGCGGGGACGACTCAGCGGTGGGATATATGGTCCAAAGGCCCCTCACTGCACAGGGGTCAAGGCTAAGTTTCCCTGAGCCCATACCCAGCTCGGCCTCCTCCCTAGCCTGCTTCCCTCGCTCCTTCCTCCGCATGCGCATGAATTCCGGCCACTGGCCCCACTTCCAGGGCCCTGACCTAAGATGCATGTGATGCCTGATCTCGTCCCATAGCTGGGGGAGGGGGAGGCACAGAGGCTCTCTAGGGACCACGGGAGACACAGCCCCCTGTAGACTCAGCCCATCTCTAGGCCAGTTTCCTCGACTATAAATGAAACATTTAGGCTAGATTTAGTTAGAACAGCAACAACGATGCAACGTATAAACAAATGGGAGGACAGCTTATCCCTGGCCGCCGTGTGGTGAAGGATTCAGGTAAACAAGACAAGTCCCTTCCCCCAAGCAGCTCATAGGCCATTTACTCATTTACCAAACATTTATTAAAGGTAGCTGGGGACCTGGGTGAGTCAGTGTCCTGCTCATGAAGGGCTCACGGACCAATGGGGAGAATGGCAGAGGCACAAGCTAGGCTTAAGGTTTCTAACCTTAGGATCTGAGGAGGGGTCCCAGGGGAGGAAGGAAGGGCATTCCAGGCAGAAGGAACCCATATCCGAAGGCCCGAGCTGTGATGCAGTGTGATGTGTCTGGTTGGGGACCCATAAGCCCTTTGGTTTTATTGGTGAGTATAAGGAGGGAGGAAGCAGAGGTGACGTCGGGGAGGTCAGCAGGGACCAGGTGGAGGGGCAGTGGGGAGTAGTGGTGATAGTGGGAGACTTTCTGAAGCAGGAGGGACGCCACAGTCAGGTGCATGTGTAGAAAGACCACTCTGTCCCTGTGGTGGAAGAGCGGTGGGCGAGGAAGGGCAGACTCGGGAGGTTTAGGGTTGGAATTGGCCAGCTGTGGTACTGTACTGGACTGTGCACCGTGAGAGGCTGGAAGATGGGAGGGCACGAGGAAGTCTGGCCAGCTCCCGGCTCGGACAGCTGGGTGGCTGGCACGCCATTCCTGGGGGTGGGGGTGGTGGGTGATGTGTGAGGAGGGTGGGTGCGGTCCGTTTGGGAGCTGCTGACTGGAGGAGACCTGGGGGCCTCCTGGAGGGTTGGTCCCTGGGCAGATGGTGGGAGGCTCGGGGACTCAGGGGCAGGTCCAGGCTGGAGATGTGGTTCTGGGAGTGGTCGGGGTCTGAGTGGTGGGGGAGGGGGTGGGAGGATGAGGGGATGTGTGTCTGGGGAAGAGAAGGGCAATTCCTCAGACGTGAGGCTCTGTGAGGGACCCTTTAGCTCGGATGCTCTCAGCATGTCCTGGCCTGTGGGGATAGCCCCCTTGGGCATCCTGGCAGACTCCCCATCCTGGGCTTGCTCTCAGCACCGTGCACCCCCTCCAGGCCTTCTCCTCCCACCCTCAGAGAAGACTCGCCTCCCTGAGACCTGGGCTGGACAGGGTGAGGGGAGGCTGGAATGGTGGAGGCAGAGGCCTCCTTAACTACATGCATTCACCTGAGGGACTCCCTCTGAGAACTGAGCCACGCTGGGCCCAGGGTCTCCTGGGGTCTCACTCCTCCTGCCTTGGCCAGCTGCTTGCAGAGTCCAGAGACCCCTGGAGCAGCCTCTTGGCATTCCCACCAAGTCCTGGGGGTGCACTGTGTGTGTGTATGTGTGGCGTATGTTATGTGGCGTGTGGTGTGTGTGTGTGTGTGCGTGTGTGATGGATGAACTTGGATCTGAGGTCCCGGGGCTCAGTTGCTCACTGAGTGGTTGTGGCCTCCTTTCTGAGGTCCATGGTGAACCCCCTGACACTTCTACCCGCCACGCCCCACCTGGTCTACAACACACTGGGAAAATCATATTTATTGACGGTTTTCACATATTCTATTACCATATACAAAATTCCCACCAGCCGTCAACCTCCCTCCCCTGGCGCTCGGGACCCAGAGACCAAACTGCTCTCAAGCACTGTCCCCTGGGGGGGCTTCCTGAGCCCTGCAACCGTCTTCCCCACCTGCCCTGCCGCGGAAAAGATGCCACCGCCCTGCCGTGGCTTTAGGGACCAGACCACGGCCCTGGTGGTCCTCGCTACCGACCTCACAGGTTATGGAAACCCACCTGCATCCACGGTGGCCGACCCAGCCTTCATTAAGACAGAGTTCCCATCTTGGGGGTGCTCCCCCTGGGAGAGGACATACGGGGGGCACGTGTCAGGCAGGTGGTCCCGGTGCCGAGACCGCTTCCGCCTCGGACTGAAGGTCTCCAGGCACCTCTTGCCCACCAGGTAGGTGACCTCACTGAGGTTGAGCAGGATGCAGATCACAGCTGTGGCCACCATGAAGTAGGTGAAGACCTTCTTCTCTGTGGGTCGGGAGATGTAGCAGTCTACCGTGTGGGGGCAAGGTGACTCGGAGCAGGCCACCACCCGGGGCATGTCATAATCCTGGTAGAGGCAGTGGAAGATGTAGAGGAAGCTGATGTCGACAGCAGCCTTGAAGATGAGACTCAGCAGGTATGTCCACCAGAGCCCGCCTCGCTTCTTGCTTGGGTTGTTGTACAGGGACGGGGCGTTGGGCCCGTGCTTCAGGCGGTGCTTGCGCTCGCGCTCCTGGCGGTAGGCCACGTGCATGACCACGAGCAGCGAGGGACAGGTGACCAGGATGAGCTGCAGGGCCCAGAGGCGCACGTGGGACACGGGGAAGAACTCATCGTAGCAGACGTTGGGGCAGCCCGGCTGCTTGGTGTTGCAGACGAAGTCCTTCTGTTCATCATCCCACACCTCCTCGGCCGCCACCACGTACACCAGCACGCGGAAGATGAACACCACCGACAGCCAGATGCGGCCCAGCGCTGTGGAGTACTTGTTCACGCCGCTCAGGAGGGCCTGCAGGGATGCCCAGTTCATGCTGACAGTGTCCTTGCTTCCGCACGTGGACCGTCAGCACCCGTGAGCACCCACTTGTGGCGTGGGGGCCGCGAGGCTGGGAGAGCCTGGAAATGGGCGCCCTTTATTAAAGGTGCAATTGGCAAAACCCTTTCACAAACACTCTGTCATCACGTCTTCACTTGCAATGACTTGGTTGGGTCGGCATGGCCGTTACCCAGTTTCACAGGGGAGTAAGCTAAGGCCCAGGGAGGCACCCACCCAAGGCTCCCCAGCTGGAAGTGGCAGAGCTGGTCTTGAACCCCCACCTTCCAGTTCCAAAATCAGGGAAGATTTTATTCTATGAAGTGATAAATGGGACAATAATCATCTCGCACCAATGCACCCGCCAACTTCTTTGACCCCAAGTTTGAGCCCTGCGGATCACACGACTTCTACAGAAACAGCAAGAAGGTGTGGATTGGATGACTTGCCCTCCCTTTAGCTGCAGGAGGGGAGGGAGGTGTGTCTTTATTGTCCTCCAACTTCTACTGAGCACCTAACAGGAGCGGGGCCCTGTGCTGGGTGTGTTCCTATCGGCCTCTTTGGCGGACCCCTGAGTGATATCCATCCTCACCGAGAGGCCCAGGACATCCCCAGCCCTGACATTTCCTCCCAGACTAAGCAGGCTCTTTGGAACCGTGGGGGTTCGGCACCATCCACCCCCCCACCCCACCCCCCCCCGCACTGGTGCTGAACGTCTTGACCACACTGGGTTCCTCTGGAATTCCAACCATTTCAGCTTTAGGGAGGGACTGGGGAAGGGACAGAGGCAGGATTCTGGCTTGGTCCTCCCCTCAACACTTGCTTGTGCTCTCAGGAACACCGTCCTTCTCTGTTTGCTAGCCAGCTCTCTTATTATTCCCGGTCAGGCCCCTGTCCTGTGTGCTCCGTCCTCCACAGCCCCTTATCTGGGGTGCCATCAGGTTCCATCTCTGGCCCCGGCCCCTCCCCTGTCCCTGACTCAGACCTCATCATCTTCAGAGCTTGTGACCCTGGGACTTTTTCCCAGTACCCTCCTCTGCAGAATAGATCACTGGTACTCAGATGGTCTGTTTTCCTGTCTCCTGTGTGACTGTCAGCACCTGGAGGGCAAGCGTCTACAGCTCATCCAACCGTTTCCCCAGCACTCAGCACCTGCCTGGCCTGGTGAACCCATGATAGATTTTGCTGAACTGAAACTCCTTCTTCCTGGTCCCTCCTCTTCCTTGTCTCTTCTCTGGTCCTCTGTCCTCCCTTTGGTCTGGCAGTACATCCCTCCCCCTCCTTGGGGTTTCTCCAGGGATCCTCTGTCCCCTCTGCTCCTCCCAGGAGCCCAGCCTGCAGCCCGAGTTCCCAGGAATCCTCAGCCCATCTGGTCCCCGCTTCCCAGCCCGGTCTCCTGCCCGATTCGGTCCTCACCTTTCCTGGGTCTAGCAGCGACTCTCCGGTCCCTGGTCCGTCTGCCTGGGGGCCTCCCGGAGGCAGCTTTTGTTCCTCACTCCTCTGTTGGGTGGAGCTTTCTGAGCCAATGAGCCAAGGGAGAGTGAGCGGGTGGGCAGGGGGGTGGACTTCCCCGGGCACAGATTCAGAGCAAACACCTGTGGCTCTTTACCCCTGGCCCACGCCTTCTCTCCAGCCTGGATGGGCAGGGTTGGGTCTGGCTCCCTGGGCTGGCAGGTATGTGGGTGAAGTTGTCTTTAGGCGGGGGGCAGTGCAGGAGCCTGGTATTCTTATGCTAGGGCCCAGGTCAGCACCAGTGGCCCCTATCTGTTGCCCCTAGCCCCTTCCCATTGCCTTATTGCCCCTGGCCCCTCCATCCCCAGGCCTCTCTCCTGCCCTTTTCTTCGGAAGCACGGTTCTGAGGTCCTCAGTAGCTGACATCTATGGAAAGGGACCACCTTGATTCAGCCCAGGATCACATCCCACCCTGGTGGGGACATTTCTGGGGACTAGAATTTGGGCTGTTGGTGAGCTGTGTAGGGGATGAGAGGGGACGATTATGGTTCTTTTCGACAAGGATACCTGCTGCCCTGGTGGAGATGAAGAATGCAGGTCAGCAGCATGAAATGCCCAAGTTGGCACGGGGCCAGGCGCAACCTCGCTGTCCATCCTTTATTGGCCTGGGCCTCTAAGGAAGTCAGGGTACCTCCCAGTGGGGCTGCAGAGGGGCCTTGGGCCTGCGTCCTGGCTGTCCTGGTGGCTGGGATAGTGAAGGTTAATGTGCAGCCAGGGAGGGGCTCCTCTGCTTCATTTCCCACAAGCATTTATTGAGCACTTCCTAATACCAATGATTAACATTTATGTGGCCTTTTACAGCTGGCTTACCCCATCCACAGCCATGAGCTCATCCAGTCCCCCCCCCGCCCTGGTCTCCGTATTATTAACCCATTTTTGAGAGGAGCTGAAGTCCCTTTCCTAGAGTCCCAGTGGAGCTTGGGTTCAAATCCAAGTGTTCTGACTCAAAAGTTCATGAACTTTCCATTGCAACACACAGCTCCCCACAGGCTAAGCCCCATTATGTTTGCAGATAGCCCTCGGACCTCAATTTGCAACTGGGGATAAAAGCTTGTTTTGAGCATGAGCAGGTGGCATGACTCCCAGAAGTGCTGGGGACCCTTTTCCAGGGGAGGGGATGGTCCCCTCACCTGGCTGGATCAGGTCCAGCCCTTTGCAGGGGCAGAGAAGTTGACCCAGTGACCTGAGAAGGGTCGCAAAGGCTGAGGGACCAAAGGGCACCTTCAATCAAGTGGATGAGTTGACTTTTATTAAGCCTTGACCGTGCCCCCTCCCCTGAAGGTACTTGCACATCCATTCTCTAAATAAACCCCTCCTCACGGCAACCACCCTGTGACGTGGGCTTCACCTCCATTTTACACAAAGGGAAATGAAGTTTCAGCTCAGAGGGGTCACTTGCCCAAGGCCCCACAGCTGCGGCAGGGGCCGGACCCTCCCTGCTGCCTGTCCCCAAGGCTGTACTTGTGGGACATGCTGGGCCCTCTCCACCAGGTTTGACCCGGCGGCTCTCACAGGATGGTCTTCTTCACATGGTCTCGAGGGAGGTCTGGTAAGAGAGGAGGGTGAGAGTCTGAGCCCAGAAAGATGAGGTCGCCTGCGAGGAGGTCGTCCCCCTTGCAGGGCGAGGTGGCCCAGGCCGGGCAGTGGCCCACACCGGTGGCCCTGGCTCTCCTCGCTGCCAAGCCCTCATGGCACCTCTTGCTCACCAGGTAGGTCAGCTCTATGAGGTTGAGCAGGATGCAAATGGCAGCCGTGACCACCATGAAGAGTGTGAAGATGTTCTTCTCTGAGGGCTTGGAGATGAAGCAGTCCACCATATTGGGACATGGAGCTATGTGGCACTTGACCACATGAGGGAGGGTGTATTTGGGGTAGAATGAGTGGAACACATAGAGGAAGGCAGTATCCACGCCGGCCTTGAACACCAGGCTGCAGACGTATGTCCACCAGAGCCCGCCCCGCTTCTTGCTGGGGTTCGGGTAGAGACGCCCGCCATCCTCCCCCACTACCTCTCGGTGCTTCTTCTCCCGAGCCTCCCGGTAGGCCACGTGCATGACCACGAGCAGTGAGGGGCAGGTGACCAGGATGAGCTGCAGGGCCCAGAGTCGCACGTGGGACACGGGGAAGAACTCGTCAAAACAGACGTTGGAGCAGCCCGGCTGCTTGGTGTTGCAGTCAAAATCCTTGTGGTCGTCACTCCACACTCGCTCAGCCGTCACCAGGTAGACCAGCATGCGGAAGATGAAGACCAGAGACAGCCAGATGCGCCCAAAGGCTGTGGAGTACTTGTTGACCCCGCTCAGGAGCCCTTCGAAGATTCCCCAGTTCATAGTGGACCCAGGTGTTGGCTGTTCCTGCTGGGAAATAATCATAATTTCCCACATTTCTAGAATACTGACTCTGAGCACCTGTGGAAATATATCATCTGTATTCAATTCTCACAGTCCTAGAGGAGCTAGGTTCTGTTATTGTCCGCATTTTACAGATGGAAAGGGGGGCTCGGGGGGTTATAAAGGTTGCACAACTATTAGGTGCAGAGCTGGGATTCGAACCCAGGTAATTAAATCCGGAACCCATAAAAGTGGGGGAAGGTGGGTCCAGGGAGCCACTCTTTCCTCCCGGGGTCAAGGCTCTGGCCTTGCGGTCCTGCAGAGTGAAGGCTCGAGTAGGTGGGACATTCTGCCCTCTCCCTCTGTTTCAACCCTGGCCCTCCTCCTCAGGGTGCGGAGCCTTGGGAAGACTTCTCTCCTTTTGAGCCCCGCTCTCTCCTCTTAGTCCCTCCTAAGGGGAACCTGCTCCTTGCCCTTTACTTGGCTTAGGGGATTGGGCAGGAGAGGCTGCTGGAACTTTGTCCCCAAACTCCCGTCTGGTCTAACACTCAGTAAATATCCAGGTAATATCTTGCTCAGGTGCAGCGCACTTGAAGCAAGGCCAGTGGCAATCCAGCTGAAAGATGAAGTAGGGGACAATGGTTCTCTTTATCCTTTACCCTGGTATTCTGGGGATTCCCAAACTGGTGTTCTGTGGAACCCTGCTCCATGGTTTGGCAACAGGAGCAGTGAGAGAAAAGGATTCTGTGTTCAAGAAAGGTAGGCAAACATAGGTTCAGCAAAGTTCAATAGGTCTCTTTCCTTGACCAAGAGAATACATTGACACTTGAATCCCCCAAACGGAAGGAAAATGTAGCATTGTCTGAACTCCTTTGACCACAGAACCCCTCCCTGCCCTTTTTTTAATCATTGTGTGGAACAGTCTTGTCAAAACAGCAAATTGGGACATGCTGCTCTGGTCAGTTTTGCTGGTGAGTTTCGTGCAATGAACACATCAGATTACCGAATGTGACTACCATTCAGAGCAAGAGACTCCCACTTCCTCTCTTGGAATTCTTCTGCCTGGTTCCTGGCGGGGCTGTGGGGAGGCTGGGGTGTCCCCTGAGACCCAGGCACTGTGGTCTCACCTGCTGGGCTCCCCTGGGACCTCAGGGAGCCTGCACAGACTCTTGCTCTAAGGGGTTCCTGATGCCCTTCCCAGTGCCCGTGTAAGCATTGGTCACCGTGCTGTCCTGACCGCCGGTGGGATCTGCTACAGATGAACAGGGTGGTGGTAAGGGCCAATGGTTCCTGGGTATTTACGCGGCACCAGGCACTGTTCTCAGCACTTTGCATGAACCAGTACAGCAACTGTGTGAAAGGGTATGATATTTTTTAATTCCCAATTCACAGATGAGGAAAGTGGAGCACAGAGAGGTTAATTAATTTGCTCATAGTTGCACAGCTGGGAAGCTGCAGAGCTGGGATTTGAACCACACTCTGGGCCTGGGCCCCTTTCTTTAAGTTGCAGGAAGCTGCTTGCTCATCTGGTCTGTGCCCAACCTCTCCCTCACCAGGTGGATGCCAGGTAAGAGAGGCTGGAGGTGTCTCTGCTCTCACCCTGTCTCTCCACTGTTCTGTCTCTACCCCCTACCGCTTGGTCGTGAATCATCTGCTTGTCTTTGCTCAGTCCTGCATAAGGTGGGCGGGACTCCTGGCAGCTTGACAGGGAACTGCCTGAGAGGCTCCAGCCCTCAGTCCCCAGAGGCTCTTGGCCCAGCCCTCCTGGGGTGTGGTGGGTGGGACTCCGCAAGCCCAGGCAGAGCTGCTTTGCTTGCTCAGCTCCTGGCACCCCTGTGAGCCCTTCTTGCACTTGGTCCCTGGCTCCCACCTCTGCTCAGCTGGGGAGAGCAGGAAGAACGCAGAGCAGAGGAGGGAGGAGCCCTCCGTTCCTGTCCCATCCGACCCACGGTGGTAGATATGTCCAGGCCACCTCTGGCCTCGCCACCAGAGAAGTCTCCCTCTGCCAGGTAAGCCAGGGTCCATCTGGACCCAGGGGACCTTACCTGGGTGGCTACTCCTCAGGGCTCTCTGTGTAATGGCTCCTGGTAGCTGGAAGTCGGACTCAGCAGGCAGCTGGAACTCATGTCAGAACCAGGGAGGGCGTCTGGGCAGCGCATTCCCGGGACAGGGCCTGCAGAGTCTGCAGGCATCCTGGGTGTGCCTCTGGCCTAGGAGGAGGAGTTGCTGCGCCTGACCCTGCCATTGGCTGGGCCCCAGCCTCCCCAGCCTGCCTCTGCTGAGGCCCAGAAACTTAAGGGTTCATGGTTCACTCTTCCAGGGGCACTGAGCCCAGAATCCTGGCATCCTCTGAGGGGAGAACCACAGGTCCACTCTGAGCCCCTGCTTGTCCTCTCATCCCTGGCCTTGTGTGGGAGGAGCTGAGGTCTGTCCCGCCTTCTCATCCTTCTCCAGAAAGTCCCCATGCTACTTCTTGGGACTCTAGGGGCTGCTCTCTGGCCTTCCATTCCTCTGGCTTCAGTTATTTTCCATAACGCCGTGACTCCCAGACTCTGTCTCCAGCCCATATGCTTTTGCCCCATCCATTGCCTACTCTTGGATGCCCTTCTCTCGCCTTTCTCATCACCTGGTACTCCTCCAAGAAGCCTTCCCT